GTTGCCCCCCCCCCTCAGCTTACTCCCCTATCTGTGGAGACGTCGTGGTAGCGTGAGCGTTAGCATGGTAGCGTTAGCGTGGTAGCGTTAGCATGGTAGCATTAGCATGGTAGCGTTAGCATGGTAGCGTTAGCGTGCCGACGTGGGCACACCTCCCTGAAGAAGTGGGTGGATTGCCTGTGTCTCATTTGCATTTAAAGAGACAGGCACTCCAAAGCGAGCGCTCTGAACGGGGCTGTTTTGGGTTAGGGTTAGGGTTAGGGTTAGGGTTAGGCAGGGGGACTGAACTGCTATTGGGCTTCATCCTTATGGGATTCTGACCAAAGCTTGTCACAGACATTACATCAGGACACCAGGGAACTAGCTTAACTTGTTGAAATAGGGTATAATATGACTCCTTTAAAGTAAAATTTGTTTCGTTCCATATTAAAAGTTTCATTTATTCAAACTTGGCCTGCGGCTTTGTTCAGGTTTTCTGTGTTTTTCGAGTTTGACACTTCTGAATTAAATGAAGAATCGTCCTTTTATGAGGACGCGGAGTCTCGGGAGATCGGGCTAAACTTCTCGATCGTTTTAAATGATTCTCGGTGGAAACTGACCCTCGGTGACACGTCTTCTGCGTGACGCTGACCAGCCGATGTTTTCCTGGCCTACATTCCCAGAGAAGGAAGTGGCTCTCCGCGCTCCGACATTCATCCACTGAAACGCCGTCCGTTTGATTTAATTAGGGAAACAATTTTTCGGCGGGCTAAGAATAGAGGAACGAGACGGAAAGAGCGAGAGGAGGAGAATGTGAAATGGAGGCAATCTAATCAGGAAGATGCGTCCCCCCCCCCCTGCTCCTTTTTGTCAGACGCTGGTAATGGATGACTCCAGAAATGACAGTTATGGCCGGGATTAGTGAGTTTATGAGTGTGTGTGTTCATGTGGGGGTCTGGGGGCGTTTGTGTGGAGCCGAATGAATAAACTAATGAATCTTTATTGTCATTGTCACAGGAACGACGAAATTTTAAAAGCGCCATCAATCAGTGCATATGCCCACAATTTACACACACGATATAAGAATTAAATAACAAATAACTGATAAAAAAACACAACTAATAAATAAGAATAGCACAATCTCACGCACATCATCCGTGATGATTAATGGTTATTTTTGGTTGCACTCTGGTACACTTACAGCCCCTGTTCACAGTCTTATTGCTGTTATTTGCCAGGGGGGTTAGGGTTAGGGTTAGGGTTAGGGTTAGGGTTTTATAATGAACAGAAAACGCACTCAAAAGGAGTGGATGACCAGACAAAGTTCAAACAAGGCAGGCAAAACTATGAACTATGAAGTATCAAAGCAAGATTATCAAGACTATGAGCAAAGTATCAAATAAAGTAAACAAGACTATGGCAAAAGTATCAAAGCAAGTAAACAAAAACTGTGAATAAAGTGCAAAATCCAAATGGCAAAAACAAGACTGTGACAC